CAGAGCTCCATCAAACTAGAGGGTGTGAAACAAAATCATTACATTTTTATTCTTTTTCAATGTAGCTCATTATTTAATGCAGTTAGTATGAACCGAAACCTATAAATAAGGGGGTCAAGCTTGAGTCTCATCAGACGCGATCTACTCGTGTTCTTAACTTCTTAATCAATAAAATCTCAAAGCTTCTCTCTCTACAACTTTATTTCTTATTATCTCTTTTGTATATCTTCGCTTCTAAATTACTTCTGCATATATTATGTGAGATTTCAAATATTGTAAAATCAATCTCTACATACTATTAAAATGTTTATTGAAATATAATAATTTTCAATTAAAATTCTTACTTCATAAATTTAAACACACATTTGGTGCTCACTTAACAATTCTTCAAACTCAAGTGTCCAACATTTTCTTCCTTTTTCCTAAAATAAATCAAAAAATCATACATTAAACATATTACAAGTTAATCTACTAATGATATGAATGTTGTTGGATCTTGAATTGTTTATTAGTTCACACTTCATAGACAAGAGTACTTAGAGAAAAGAAAGAGAAAGAAAAAGACTTTTAGAATTTTATTGCTTAGGAAGAGAGTACAAAATATGCATAGTGGAATTTAAGGAATAATTATATGATCGGCTCATTCTCAACTTTTAATCTTTATTTATAGATTTGGGATAATTTTGACTTTGATACATAATTGGTTTATAGAGCTAGAATTTAATAAAGAATGCAACAAAATACAAGATGATACAATGTATCTGCAACACTATAAAACGTTGAGCTGTCAACTTAAGTAAACTGTCATATTCTAGCTGACAAGCTAACAAATTGACATACTATTAATAATTAGGATTCTTTTGTCGAGTTGTGAGTTGATGATATTCTGGTCATTTTAGCCTAATTCTACTAAGTTGACACTTGAATAGATTATATGATCTGAGTCTGATTATAAATTGATTTCGTTGGACAATAGATTTCAATTGAACTCTTACGTACTTGGCTATACAAACACCTTATTCACCTGTCTCATAAAGTATTGTTGGTCCTTAAACCAAAAATAAACACAAGAATTTGTAATGCTCATAGAATAAATTGAATAGAGTCTTGAGAATATTTTTTATCTTGACTTTATAATAAGTGATAATCAATTCTCAAATCATTGTAAGAAAAGATTGTAGTGTGTTGAGAAATTAGGGCGAAGAAAAACAAGAACGACATAAATCCAGAAGAACACAGAGATTTAACGAAGTTCGGCAAATATGCCTACATCCTCGGGAGCAGAGCGACGACCTCCTTTTCAATATTCAGAAAAGAGTACATAATACAAGATTCAGTTCTCTCAAAGACCTAGAACTACAAACAGGTCTATCTATAATCCTAGAGTAAACCCTACAGTACAATATGTAATTACCAAATTACCCTTGTACCGTATAGCGGGGCGTTGACCGAGCACCCCCAACCCACATAACGTAACTTCCCGATTTGAACAGATTCTTCCGCTTCGCTCCACTCTGCTCCGCTTCATTCCAACATCTGTCCCTATATGGTATATGAGTCATACCATAACATAATGCTCTTCAACTAAAGAAATAGAACATCACCCCTAACTAAGGGATATTTGATCTTAAGAGTGATCTTATCTACACAACCTCATTATGTCCATATGTAGTAAATTGAAAACTGTTTATGAAAATTATAGTTTTATTTTTTATTTATTATACCCGTAATAGAAAGCATCATATTTAAACAGGTTGAAGTTGTTTGTAAAGCTTAAAGTTAGGATTGATTTCTTTCTAAAACCAACCAAAGAAAACAAGTCTAACACATTTTATATTTTTTAATATGTATTTTTGAACTTACAACAAATTCAACTAGAAATTTTCCTTCTTTTTTTTCCCTTAAATTTTTTTATTTTTATTTTCTTTTATCAAAAGTCCCACCCAATTCCTATATATTTATATATGTAACACATAAATTTTATTTT